CATGGAAAGTCCCACGCCCCAAGAAACCCCTCAATCCCAGGCAAATAAGGACAGTTGATAGGTCACCTTAAATGGGAGCCATTGGTGCTCCCGCAAACTGAGCAAATTAGATACAGCACTGGCTGCCTCGTGTTAGAGATGCCCTGTTCTCTTGATCTTCTCTGTTCCAGTACACAGAGACTAGACCCTAATCCTCAGAGGAGTTTGTCTGACGTTCTTAGATTAAGAGAGTTCTTTGAGGCTGGGCGCCTGTGGCTCAAGTGGCTAAGGTGCCAGCCATATAACCTAAGGTGGCGGGTTCGAATCCAACCCAGGCCCACCAAACAACAATGATGGCTGCAACCAAAAAATAGCCAGGCATTGTGGCCAGCACCTGTGGTCCCAGCTACTTGGGAGGCAGAGGCAGGAGACTCGCTTGAACCCAGGAGTTGGAGGTCGCTGTGAGCTGTGATGCCATAGCACTTTACCCAGGGGGACAGCTTAAGGCTCCGTCTCAAAACAAAAAACAAAAAACAAAAAACAAAAAAAAGAGGGATTTCTTTGAGTTTTGAATGTCAAGGAGGAAGGGAAATTAAATTTTAGTGTCTTTTATGTGTTTTCCTTTTCAATTTTATCATGGCTGTGTACATTAATGCAATCATGGGGTTTTCATGTGCTTTTATACAACAGTTCATTTAATTCTCACAGCAACCATGTGAGGTGGGTTATTACCATTTTCAGTTTACAGAGGCACAGAGAGGCCGAGGTTTGTCTGGCTTCACACTCTGTGCTCTTTGCTACATCACACTGTGTCCATCAGAGACCCACAGAGACCTATGTGGTCCACCCCTATGATTTGGGGAGAATGCAAGTCCATGACTAGAATTGAGGCACAGAAAAGTGTTCACAGTAGAATCTTTCTAGATCTTCTGGGCCACATCCCATATAGTGCCCCCTCTGACCAGGAGAACCTTGGTCTTATGGCTTTGTGTTTCAGGGCCTACAAGTGTGAAAGGGAAGGTTTTAGGGTTAAAAATCTGCCCTGGAATACAGCTTGTGAGATTTAAAATGAAACATCTATTAAACCGAAGCACACAGATTATAGAAACTACTCACTGTGAGAAAGTTGACAAAAATTTGTGCCTGAGACAGAGTATGGTCATCTAGATGCCATTTTCCCCTTCAATTTCTATGCCCTCTGATCACCTCTAAATCCTTGCTTTCTCCTGGAACGGCAATACGTCCATTTTCTTAAAAAATGGACTTTAGTCAAGTACATGGCCAACACACTCTCCTCGTAACATGAATTTTAAAGTTCTTCTGTTTAGAGGAAATAGCAGTCAAAATAACATAATTTAATATGTTTAATAATTAAGTATTTAATAATTTAAACTTAAGTAGTCCAAAGAGCTAGTGAAATGAGATTTTACTGGTTGTACTTACTGGATATAGTTTTAAATTAGAATGTAAGTTGGTGAAAGAACCAGGTGTGTGAGTTTGAGGTATGGCTGTTTCTTTTTTTCTTTTTTTCGAGACAGAGTCTTACTCTGTTACCCTGAGTAGAGTGCCGTGGCATCATCATAGCTCACAGCAATCTCAAACTCCTGAACTCAAGTCATCCTCTTGCCTCAGCCTCCCAAGTAGCTGGTACTATAGCCACCTGCCATAACACGGGCCCATTTTTTTATTTTTAGTAGAGATGGGATCTCACTCTTCTTCAGTCTGGTCTCGAACTCCTGAGCTCAATGGATCCTCCTGTCTTGGCCTCCCAGATTGCTAGGATTACAGGCATAAGTCACTGCACCCAGACTTCATTTTATTTTTAAGGCACGGTCTAGCTCTATTGCCTAAGCTAAAGTATAGTGGCATCATAGCTCACTGAAACTTCAAACTCTTGGGCTTAAATGATACTCTCTTCTCAGCCTCCCAAGTAGCTGGGACTACAGGCACCCGCCTCGATGCCCAGATGATTTTTCTGTTTTTTTAGTAGAGGTCTTGCTCTTGCTCAGGTTGGTCTCCAGCTCCCAAGCTCAAGCAATCCACCTGCCTCAGCCTCCCAGAGTGCTAGGATTACAACCGTCAGCCACCCCGACTGCATGGCTTTCTTTAAAGAAATAGAGAAGGATTTAGAACTCAGCAAGGAGTCAGTAACTTCACTGGATGCAGGTTATGATTCTGTGTGGAACACTGAGAAATGAGTAAATTGATAAGCAAAGGCAGGGCAGCTAGAAGAGTGGGTCTCAAAGTGTGGTCCCCAGGCGGGCGGGGTGGCTCACGCCTGTAATCTTAGCACTTTGGGAGGCCAAGGCAGGTGGATAGCTCAAGCTCATGAGTTCAAGACCAGCCTAAGCAAGAGTGAGACCCCCGTCTCTACTAAAATTAGAAAAACTAAAGCAAGAGGATGACTTGAGCCCAAGAATTGGAGCTTGCTGTGAGCTATGACAGCACAGCACTCTACTCAAGGTGACAGTTTGAGACTCGGTCTCAAAAGAAAAAAAAAAGTGTGGTCCCCAGACTAATAGCATCAGCATTACCTATGAGCTAGTTAGAAATGCAAATACTGGGCCCTGGCCTAAGCCTACAGAATCAGATCTTTGAAATCCAGCTGATTCTGATGTAAGCTCAAGTTTGAGAACCATTGAACTAAAAGCAGCTTGGAATTATGTCCTAATCAAAAAGGAACTATTGCCAGTTAAATCGGGAGGTCTTGATGAAAGATCTGGAAAAGCTATGGGCAAATTCTATCCACTTATCTCTCTACCACCACTGCCCAAGTCTGGGCTCCATCATCTTTCAGCTGGTCTAGTGCAATAGCTTTATAATTAGTCTCATTCCTCTTATCTTGTACCATCTAATCCATATTCCCCATCAGAAAGAGTGATTTTAACAATTAGGTTATTACTTTCCCACTTATTGATAGGATTCCCATCACAGGGATGAACCCTGAAGTCCTCATCTTGGCCCACAAGGCCTTGCAGGAGCTGTTTCCTAATTGCCCCTTTCATGTGACCTTGTACCCTCGTGCACTTTGCCCCAGCCTTGTGGCTTATTCCAGTGTAGGGCCTTTGTACTTGTTCCTTTTACGAGGAAACCTTTCCTCTGGCTCCTTATTTGCACTATGGGCTCCTTCTCCCCATTTAGATTTCGGCTTCCATGTTACCTCTGCAGAGGCTCACCTGGCACCCTATACAGGTGAATACGTGAGCACTCTCAAGACTTAGCTGAGCAATTTTTGATTTTAAATTCCCTAAAGCTAATTTATCCATAAAATGGGGCCCATGATAATCCATAGCACTGTATCTGCATCAAATAAGATAAACTAGGGAAAGTGTCTAATATATGAGTAACTCAACTGTTAGCGCTTCCTCCTGGGGAAAGATCATTATCATGGTCACCTCGCTCATCCAGGCTTTCATGTCTTCCCATCATATCCTCCTGTAGCCCCTGGCTGGCCTTTCAATTTTCAGTTCCTTCTCACTCCAATTTATCTTATACACCATTCCCAGCTTAATAATCTTCCAATCCTATTTTTAAAAAAACTTGGCTTGGTGCCTATAGCTCAGTGAGTAGAGCTCCAGCCACGTACACTGAGGCTGGCATGTTTGAGCCCAGCTCAGGCCTGCTAAAACAACAATGACAACTGCAACCAAAAAATAGCTGGGCGTTGTGGTAGGCACCTGTAGTCTCAGCTACTTGGGAGGCTTGGACAAGAAAATCGCTTCAGCCTAAGAGTTGGAGGTACCTGTGACTGTGACACCCCGGCACTCTACCAAGGGCAACATAGTGAGACTCTGTCTCAAAAAAAAAAAAAAGAAAAAGAAAAAAAGAAAAATCTTACCTGACTCTTTTAATGGTATAACCCCCCTACTCTCCCCTACTCTTTTAGCCCCTAAGCATTTAGGGATTCAAAAAGTGCTGCTTCAGACCTGGGACCTTTTAGATGCCACAAAAATAATTTGAGGGTATCGTTGTTTCCTAGGCTCAAATTTGTAATGTTTACTGTTTGCCTACATCCTTCTGCTCATTAAGAAGAAAAGGAAGATTAGAGTGGCGGCTCTCAGAGATTGGCTACAGGAGGCAGCACAACCCAGGGGAAGTGGCCGTAATGGTGTGAGCAGTGACAGGTTCTGATGACAGGCAACCGTGGAGCTGGAGTGCTGGGCCAGCAGGCTGTGTCTAGGCAGTGGGAAGAGCTCTGATCAGAATATCAACAGTCTCAGGGACCCGTGGGAATGGGTTCCTAGGGACTGAAGAGTGAGTGTAGCTAACACTGCCCCCAGCACTCAGTCAATGTTCTCAGAATAGGACAGAAGTGAACTAAATTGAATAGAACCCTAAAGAAGGCAGCATAAAGAAAGAGCCGTGAGAGCAATTTGAAATAACTTAAGGAGAGAGAAGTGATGGCAGATGTATGCTAATTGGGGGTGTTTTTTGTTTTAAGGCAGAAAAAGAAATCCTTTCATGTTAGTGTAATATAATCTTCGCTGAATAGAAGAGACTTCAGTGGGCTCAAGTTAAAACAGACATTCCGAGTGCTGCCAGAATTGTTTCCAGAGGATTAAAAAAGACAATACTTTCTTTTAAACACTTGGAGTCATAGAATCAGGAATCTGATTAGGTCGATAACCAGAAATACTCTATTCAGGAGCTTCTCAAACTTCAAGATACATAGAAATCACCTTGGTAAGTTTTTTAAAAATTAAGATTCAGATCCTGTAGGACTGGGATGAGACCTGAGACTCTTCCCTTACAATAAGCTTCAGATGTGGCTGATGGTCCAAGGACCTCACTTTAAAATGAAAAGGTCTCATTTCTTTCTTTTTTCTTTACTCACCACTATACTAACGAGGAGAAAAGGTCTCGTTTAATCCAGGTTTTTCCTAGTGGAGAAATGGAGGCTCAGAGAAGTAAAGGGTCTGCCGGTGTTCCCAGGGTCTCTGGCTGTACTTATGTCTTTTTTTCTGTTGCACCTTGATGTTTTATTGAGAGTCTGTAGAAACCACAGGACCCCACAGAGCTACCTGCATGGTGGTGGCCCAGGGCATGTTGGCAGCTTAGATGGTACCAAGGACAGAGTAGGACAGGGCCTGGAAGAATGAGGAGGAGGTGGTGACCAGTGTTACTGGCCAACCAAGTCATGATAACACATATAGCAGGTGTATTTAAATCACTGACTCAAGCAAAAGAGAATGGGATTAACAGATAATAGTTTTTAACATTCTTTACTGTAATTTTAAAGTTAGTAGGCAGATAGGGTTGATGTCAGAGAGATATTTTTAGGCAAGGGGCCCGCTCAGCCCCCCTCACATGATATCAGTGACTAACTATTCTGACTCCTCATGTGGCTAGCCCTGGCAATCATGATTTTTTTTCTGAGCTTTAACTTCAGTGAAGGTGACAAGGTTAAAAGGTAAAGGTCAAAGATATTCTTTAATGCTTAACCTATTAACCAACCAACTAACTAGTTACTTTAATTATACATTGCTGACCTACGTCTCTGCTATGGAGACACTTAATTTCAGGGAAAGAATATGTATAAAGTTAACAAAGCAATCTCTTGCCTCTTGAAGGTTTTTTGGGGGGAGGGGTATTGAGATGGGGTCTCACTCTGTTGGCTGGGCTAGAGTGCAGTGGTGTCAGCATAGCTCATAGCAACCTCAAACCACTAGGTTCATGGAATCCTCTTTCCTCAGCCTCCTGAGTAGTTGGGACTAAAGGAATGAGCCACCACACCTGGCTAATTTTCCTTTTCTTAAATAGAGATTGGAGTCTCTCTAGGTTGCTCAGTCTATTCTCAAACTCCTGACCTCAAGCAATCCTCCTGCCTTGGCCTCTCAAAGTATTAGGATTACAAATATGAGCCACCATGCCCAGATTGCCGCTTGAAATTTTAGCATAGCCAGTTTGCTGTGGATAATTCCCACATCCATTTCCATAATCCTGGGTTTATATGCTGATTTCAGTACTTTCACTATACACTAAATACATAACCATCCTTTCCAACCTCTATTCAATGTTACAATCTGCAATTCTGCATCTATGCTAGAAATCTATCTGTAAACTTTTTAGTTATTTAATCAACTAAATAATTCTCATATCTGGTGCTTGTAGTATTAATATCAGTACTTTAACTTGCTGTTGTATAGCTGTGAGTCAAGGCTATCGGCTTAATTAATCCTGAACCAACACACCCCAGCCTCACTGGGACAGCACCTAAGCATGCACCTTGGAGAAGTCTGTACCATGAAAACACTGGAAAAATGAAATGAAATTAGGTAATTACACACACTGGATTTGATTATGCCCAGCAAATGGGTAAAATTATAACTTAGATACCTACAGGAGAGTCATGGGGTACATATGGGGGTTATAGAGGCAGGCAGACAAGGACCAGGAGGTAGAGTAGCTGAGCAGTTGCTTTAGGCCTCTTTTTACTTGGCAATGGTGGCTTTAGTCTGTACATATCAAAGTTCAGAGTATACAGAATCTTCTTTGCTGCACAGGCCACTTCCCAGGATGTCCTTGCCTGAACTTTGAACCAAAGAAAAATAAGAAAATAAACACTCCTCCTCTATCATTGCCAATTTTTTTTGTGCATGCAACCTATACAGTTATTCCAGAAGTTAGAAATAACTTGTCTACATTTTATAATTTTTATTTACTTATTTTTTTTGAGACAAAGTCGCCCTCGGTAGAGCGCCCTGGCATCACAGCAACCTCACTCTCTTGGGTTTAAGTGATTCTCTTGCCTCAGCCTCCCAAGTTGCTGGGACTATAGGCACCCGCCACAACACCTGGCTAGTTTTTCTATTTTTCGTATAGATGGGGGCTCTCTTGCTCAGGCTGGTCTGGAAGTCCTGAGCTCAAGTGATCCTCCTGCCTCAGCCTCCCAGAGTGCTAGGATTACAGAGGTGAGCCACTGCACCTGGCCTACATTTTATAACTTTCAGTACCCTAAGTATCATTAGTCATTTTATTTTGTCCCTTTGAAATTTCAGTCGGGGGTTGTAAACATTTTTTAGTTGGGTGTATAAGCCTGTGTAATTTTTCAACTATAAAATACTTTTACTTATATTTCATGCATTTTGGATTCAAGAGAGCCAGGAAGGAGAGAGCCACATTTAGGGAATATCATTGGAGGAAAAAAAAAAAAGTTTTAAACTCTGCAGGCAGAGTTTTAATAATACATACAATAAGTATAATTGTGCTACATTAACTGATAGTGAGACACAAAAGATGGAAATTAAGCCCCATGTAAATAACTTGCAATGAACACAGCAAACGTTGTTAAGGGAAAGGATCACAGCACTTGGACGTTAGAAAAGAGGAGTGCTGGGTGCTGGGCCTTCCACCTATTTCCTCACTACCCTTTCTGCCCCCTAACTTCACCTGCCATCACCACAGTGTAACTTTAAAGATATCACATAACCATTCTGGCTGATTGTAGAAGAAAGAACCTAAGCTGTCAGAAAGCAGGTAATCTCTTTTTGCTCTAAGATTTTACATTTGAAACAGGAGTTGACACATGGCTGGGTCTCATTCTTAGTGCTAGTTTTTTCTCCCCAATGCATAACTCATTTGTTTAACAATTCTCTTCCCCAGGGCACAAAGGTGATGTGCACCCCAGCCTTATCTGCATGCTCATACACCCCTCCAAATGTCCCCTTGTTGCACCTGCTGGTGTTTGAGGCACTTACCTTAATGAGCTAGAAAGGCTGCATCAGCCTCTGCTGCACCTGCGTCCCTGAGTGTGAGCAAGCTGGTCGGGGGAGGTGGCTGGGGTGTATCCGCTGCAGCACAGGACAGAGCTCTGTCAGGGAGGCAGGGAAAGGAGAGAAAACTTCAACAGAAATAGTTCAAGTGTTTCGAAGTTAAAAATAAAACTCTATCACAAGGGGCAATGTGACCGGGCTCAGCTTACGCCTTTTCCTTTCCCCTGTATTTATCAACACGTGGTCTCTACTGGAGTGGCATTTAGCAGGGGAAATGAGATGGGAAGTCGGGTTTTATATCAACAGGTTTTCTTTCCCTTGAGGAAGGAGGAAAATCCTTTTAAGAAGGATTGTTTTTCAATGCCAAAGCAGCCTCTCAGACTCCTGCATGTGTAGTCAGTGGATCCAGCTGTGTTTGAGGAGCTGGTGGAGAATTCGGGAAGGGCTGCTGCTCTAATTATAACCATGCCTCTCACCCAAACCCATCTCTGGCTGAAGCAGCAACTTGTGCAAGTGACAAGCTGTCCTGCTTCTGTATCTCCTATTTCTTGTCATGACAAGTAAGTGCCTTTCCTTTCTTGGCACCTGTCTTTTCTATGTGGCTGGAGTTTGTAGTTCAGAGATCAGGCATAGGTAAGTCCAGTGCGAGAGCATTAGAGATGGTTTGTACAAGGCTTACCTATCATTTAGTTCAACTTCCTTTTCTTCATAGACATGGAGACAAAAGTTCAAAGAAAGTAAATTGCTTATCCAAGGTCACACAGATCACTAATGGAATAGCCACAGGAAAGACTTGCTTAGTTCTTTGAACTTCCAGTCTAGTGTTTATCTTATCCTCTTCCAATAAACCCATCCAGCTATCTTCCAAGGAAAGAAAAATAAATATAATCCTGAATTTGCTAATTTCCAAGTATGTGGTTTTGACCAAGTTACTTAACCACTCTTTTTTCCCAATTGTGAAATGGAAATGATAACTCTTGGTATGACTATATGCAACTGTGTTCACACACTAATTAATGCATTAACATATATAAAACACATGAATGTGTACCACATATCAAGTGCTCAGTGTTAGCATGTTAGCTGTTATCTAAATGCACTAGAATGAATTCTGACTAAAAACAAACATGCCAAATTCTACTGGAATTAACAATCACTGAATTCCCCTTTCCCCTGGATCCTTCAATGCATGTAAGTCCCTATAGGTAAACTTACTTGGCATGAGCAACTGGCAGTTAAAAACTGTACAGATTGGCTCAGCTCCTGTAGCATAGTAGTTATGGTGCCAGCCACATATACCAAGGGTGCTGGGATCAAACCCAGCCCGGGCCAGCTAAACAATAATGACAACTGCAACAAAAAATAGCCGGGCATTGTGGAAGGCACCTGTAGTCCCAGCTACTTGAGAGGCTGAAGCAAGAGAATCACTTAAGCCCAAGAATTTGAGGTTGCTGTGGGCTGTGACACCACGGCACTCTATTGAGGGCAATGTAGTGAGACTCTTTCTCAAAAAAAAAAAAAAGTACAGATTTTCTATGTTGATCTTGTATCTCGAAACTTTGCTAAACTCATTTATTAGTTCTAATTATTTTCCTGTGGATTCCTTAGGATTTTCTCTATATTAGGACCACACCATCTGTGAATAGAAGTATTTTTACTTCTTTTCTATTGGGTTGTCTTTTATTTCCTTTTCTAGCTATACTTCCCTGCCTAGAAATTCCAACACTGTTTGACAGAGTGGTGAGAGTGACAATATTTGATTTCTTTCTGGTCCTTGGGGGAAAGCATTCAATCTTTCACCAAAAAGTGTATTACCTGTGGAATTTTATAGATGGTCTTTATCACGTTGAAGGAGAGGGGTTTTATAGTTTCTTCTTTACTTTATTGGGTTTCTCTATCATGAAAGGGTATAGAATTTTGTCCAATTCTTTTTATGTGCCTATAAAGATCATCATGTGATTTTTGCCCTTTATTAATATTGTGAATTACATTGTTGGATTTTTGTGTGTTAAGCCAACCTTTGGGGAGCGATGGAGGAAATGGCTGACTGGAGCCACCTTTCCACAGAGGCTCCTGCCTAGAACGAGACTTAAAGGACAGAAGTTTAGCAAGTAAGCCAATGGTTTGGAGCTGAGCCAAAAGAGAAGGTTGAAGAACATACATCAACCCTATTGAGGCAAGCTGCAACCTCAAGGAAACAAATAATAGGTACAAAATCCATTGCCAAGCAGACAGGAGTCCCCTTCCCCATGAGAATGGCTCGCAGTATACTTTCTACAAACAAGTGAGCAGAGTTCTGATATCCTCATTTTATCCCATGGGAGAGACTTGCT